ACATCTGAACCAAAGGGAGAGAGGATTAGGAGAGCAGAATTAAAACACAGAGAAATCGATTCACAAAAATCACAACACAAAAGAATCGCAGAACACTCAGATATCCACAAATCCACAGAGCACATTGAAAAATTCACGATTCAACAAAGATTAGCCCTAACGCGGTGAATCAAAAGGGGGAAGAGAACTTATCTCCGTTCGTTCGAAACCGCAAACCGCCCTCGTCGCCGAATGCACCTCTTCAAAACCCTCGCGCAGATCCGTGAAGCATCCCCAGCAACAAAACGGAAGACCTACAAAACCCAACTCAAATATGAAATTTTATTTGTTACTAACTTCGTTCTCATTAACTCGTTTTTTTTTGTTTATGGATTGAAGGAATCACAAAGAAAGAACTCGTGGAGAAGAACCCTAAGTGTTCACAGGTTTGGGAGTCATAGAAGAACAAAGGGATGAGAGCGGAGGAAAAAGAAGAAGGAGGTGAGAGAAAGAAAAAACGAGAAGGGTAAAGGAGAGAAGACGATAATGGAGAAATCGGCGGAAGAGAGATTTGGGACCTAGGGTTACTTCGTCTTTCTGTTTGTTTCCAATTTGGTTGTATGCTATTGTAATTATGTATGGCACGCGCACACACATTATTATGCACCTCACACAATCGCCACACGATCTCCAATGGATCTCATCTTATGACCCTCACCCCGCGTGACCACCATAAGCCCGTGCGCCTGCACGCACGCAGTCCATCCGTTTGAGAGTGCCTCACCCTTTTTATCCCGTTTAACCTTTATTAACCTAACTATTAATTTAAAATCCATTTAATTAACTAACTATACTTTTTGTGATCAGTTTTTTTATAAAAAACGATTAATTAACCCTTTTTATAAAGTAACCTATTTACCAAATCAATTTTATTCCAATCAATCATTTCAATTAAACATTTTTAATTAAATAATTTATCTACTATTTAATTTATTTTATCAATTTTATTTCATATTAAAAGACCTCTTTATGATAATAACCATTAAATAAGTAAAAAAAACCATGTTATTTATTTAATAACATTTTATTTATTTCTAACTAGCAATATAGGTAATTCAAAAAAACTATTTTTCTATAGAACCTAATTAGTTAATGTTATTGTTAATATCACTAAGGTAATAGCCAAATAACTCTTTTATTCAATAAAGATTTTATTTAATTAATTTATAATCCAAAACAAAACTAATAAATTCAATATAGTTTTTTTTTTAATAAATCTCGCTAAAATAAAAGTACATGTTAAAGAAAATAATGATATCAACTTCAATTAAAACTAATTCCTCTTTCAATTTAGCATTTCTCTAAAAAGTCAACTTCACTCATAATTTGTAATCTAAAATAATATTTTCTTATAAATCAATTTAACTAAAATAAATCAATCCCCTTAAAATCGATTAACCACGTCATTTCATATAATTCAACTAAAATTGATTACCCTTAATCAACTTAAATCAACATCAAAAGTAATCAATCGTGCACACTCACATCCACGACACTTTCACTCTCACACACTTCAGCGCTTTCATGCGTATGTGTATGATTTTATATCCGCAATTTATTTATTGCAATTCATATTATCGCAATTTATCATTCTCGCAATTGCATCTGTCCAAAGGAAGAATCTGCGCACGATCTCAACAATCGTGCGTATGCATATCATTTGCATCATTCTCCCCACAAGATCCTTGATCTCATTCAAGTCGATCTTCTTAAGTTTAGGACCTACCCCATAGGAAGGACTTTTATCTTACAACATAGACAAAACAAATCAAACAACACAATACAAATAATATCCAAACACATTAGAGAAAGATGCCAAATCATCTTAAGTGAGATAGAATCTCCACCCCACAACAATACAATCAAGCCGTAGGAACTTTGCCTTAAGAGAGATAAAGGTGTACCTCGTCGATCCCTATCCGAGTACGTAAGTCCTTTTCTTAAGACGATGCAAAGACTATTTTCCTATAACTTGTGGCGGTTACATCTCCCTTAAAATGAAGACACATCTCTTCTCCTATAATCAATCAAACAACTACCCTAAACCCGTAGGAACTTTTACCACAGTCAAAGAACTCCTCATACCCTTTAGGGGAACTACAAAATACTCTGATTTCACTCCCGTAAGGATATGTAGGCATAAGATGCGACATCTTATCGAGTATACTTAGAAATAAACCCCTAGGTCTTTCATACCCTTAAGCAGATAAACACTTAGCAATAAACAATATAAAACAAGAGGTTCCTGTAGGATACTACAGAAACTTAGGATGCTAGTACCTTCCCTAAGTTTAACCAACCCCCGAACCTATAACTCTTTAAACCTTGCATTTGCATTGCATTGTGGTAATTTCGATCTTTATCCCTTCCTTTGGACGAATCAAAGTTCGGTTGCAAAATGAATTAAAGATTCAAACTAATCAATAGTTTGGTATCCGATTTTCACCGCGACAGTTTGGACCAGTTAAAACTGCATCCATCAGAGGCAAGAAGTATGGATTAGTCATTGTTGATGACTACAGCAGATGGACATGGGTGAAATTCCTGAAACACAAGGATGAGTCTCATTCTGAGTTCATTGACTTCTGCAAACAAGTCCAGAACGAAAAAGATTTTAAAATTGTTAAAGTCAGAAGTGATCATGGTGGTGAATTTGAAAACAAATATTTTGAAAATATTTTAAAGAAAATGGCGTTGCACATGATTTCTCCTGCCCTAGAACTCCACAACAGAATGGAGTTGTAGAGAAAAAAAATAGAACATTGCAAGAAATGGCTAGAACCATGATCAACGAGACTATTCTGGCAAAACATTTTTGGGCAGAAGCAGTGAATACAGCTTGTTATATTCAGAACAGAGTGTCAGTTAGACCTCTTCTGGAGAAGACTCCTTATGAACTGTGGAGGAATAGAAAGCCCAACATTTCTTATTTCCATCCTTTTGGATGTGTATGTTTTATGCTGAATACTAAAGAGAATTTGAACAAGTTTGATTCTAAAGTACATAAGTGTTTCATGCTTGGGTATTCTGAATGCTCTAAAGGCTATAGAGTATACAATACTGAGACACAGATTGTGGAGGAATCAATACATGTTAGATTTGATGATAAGCTTGGCAGTCAAAAGCCAAAGCAGCTTGAAAATTCTGCAGATAGAGAAGTCATTCTCACAGACTCTGAAGACTCAGAGGCAGATAAAGCAGAAGCACCAGAAGCAACGCTAGATGCAACTCCATTGGCTGCTCAGATGAACAATTTGAATATTTCTGAAGGACCAAATGTTAAAAGATCATCTAAAATCAAATCTTCTCATCCAGAAGAAATGATTATTAGAAAGAAGGATGACCCTATCAAAACAAGGTCATTTCTCAGATCATCTAGAACATCACTTTTTGGGTTGGTGTCTATCATTGAACCAACTTCTGTTGATGAGGCTCTGAACGATAATGATTGGATACTTGCTATGCAAGAAGAGCTAAATCAATTCACCAGAAATGACGTCTGGGATCTGGTTCCAAGACCAAAAGGTTTCAACATTATTGGAACTAAATCAGTCTTCAGAAACAAATTGAATGAGCAAGGAGAAGTTGTAAGAAACAAAGCAAGGCTAGTTGCTCAAGGATACAGTCAGCAAGAAGGAATTGACTACACAGAGACTTATGCTCCTATGGCCAGGTTAGAGTCTATATGTCTACTCATTTCTTTTGCTGCGCGGAATAACATCACTCTGTATCAGATGGATGTTAAGAGTGCCTTCTTAAATGGTATTATAGAAGAGGAAGTTTATGTTCATCAACCTCCTGGCTTTGAAAATGATAAATTTCCAAAACATGTTTTTAAACTTAAAAAATCACCCTATGGTTTAAAACAAGCTCCCAGAGCTTGGTATGAGAGATTAAGTAATTTTCTTCTGGAAAAGAATATTATTAGAGGCAAAGTGGACACAACTCTCTTTTGTAAATCATCTAAGAAAGACTTGTTAATTTGTGAAATTTACGTAGATGGTATTATATTTGGATCTACCAATATTACACTGGGAAAGGATTTTGCTATATCTATGCATGCTGAATTTGAGATGAGCATGATGGGAGAACTCAGATTCTTTCTGGGAATCCAAGTCAATCAAACTCCAGAATGCACTTACATACATCAGACTAATTCTACAACATTTAGACTCTCCAGCAACCATTCAAAAATGTTGTTAAAAATCTGAAAAATGTTGCCTAAAAGAATAGGGGACGTTTTCTAGGTGTCTCCTGTGCGAGCGTTGCCTATTGTCTAAGGGGACATTTTTTCATGAGCTTTGGGCATAATTTTTAAAAACGTTGCCTAAACAAAGGGAATAGGGGACGATTATTTGTGGCCTCTAAGGCAACACTTTTTAAGTGTTTCCACAAAAGGAATAGGGGACGGTTATTCGTGTCCTCTGAGGCGACACTTTTTAAGTGTTGCTACAAAAGGAATAGGGGACGATTATTTGTGGCCTCTTAGGTGATGCTTTTTAAGTGTTGCCAAATGCAGCTACAATTAATAAGTGATTCCTTAAATCTGAATCAGAAGAATTATTTTTAAAGTTTCCCAATAAAATAAGGAGGAATTTTTTTTATAGTGTCCCCACCTTTTGAATCTGGAGGATTGTTTTTACAGTGTCCCCCCATAACATATAAATTTTATAATTATTTTTTAAATAATTTAGTCGATGATGATTGGATTCAAAAAAGTATCGATTATAACTTAAACAAGATCAAATTTAACCATCCACAAATGTTATATTATAATAAAATTGAGTTCAAACATTAATTTAAGATAGTAGTTAGTAAACAAAATGCCTAACGTAACATTACTTATAATAATAATTAAGTTTAATACTTTGAAGTATGACCCTAGCAAAATAACAAAAAACATAGTTCAAGTTTAATGCTTTCAACTACAAGCAAAAAAAAAAAAAAAGAAATCATCCAACTCATTCAATTTTGTCTTCTTGAAATTCATCATCCATATCGTCTTCTTGAAATTCATCACATATGTCGTCCTCCAGAAATTCTTCATCTACCTCGTCCTCTTGAAATTCACTATCTATATCGTCCTCTTGAAATTCATCATCTACATCTATGTCGTCCTCTTGAAATTCATCACCTGCAACGTCCTCTTGGAATCTATCATCTACGTCGTCCTCTTGAATTTCGTCATTTATATCGTCCTTTTCAACATCTTCATTAATACCTTGCTGCATAAGAAAATAAAACAAAATACTTAATAATTGTTTTTGTAAGATTGAATATCTTCCCAAAACAATTTGCAGAAACAAAACAATTTAATCTTTTATTTTAAAAAATGTTATCAAAATATATTGTACCTAAATTAAGTTTTAGAGATAGTTTACATGAAACAAGATTATTTCACACACTAAACAAAAGTATGGTCTCTTCTATTCTACCAATTAATGTAGAGTAAGAATATTCATGGCAAAAGTATTGCACTCATCATTCTTTATCATAAATCATATCTTCTTAACCAACACACGATACATAAGTCAATAGTATAAGTCATGTACACTGTAGAATTTATTTTTTGTTGGCACAAATTCTAATTTTTATAAACAATAGAATTTATATAGTATTTTAATTATAAAAAAGAATTTTATATAATATTTTTGATACTATTAAACCATAGAATTTAGATAGTATAACGCAATTAGAATAACATAAATCAATAATATTGGTATATATGGTTACCTTTCCATGACATGGAGCATGAGTTGATGTAAAGTATGATATAAACTAAGACCATAGAAAGACATAATAAACAATATTCATCAATAAAATGGTAGAACAGATTGTGAACATTACCTAATCAGTACTAGAATCATAATCGATTTCATCGTCACTTTCATAACTTGTGTCACTATGATCACTCTCTATTGATTTTTGGTTGTGAAGTTCTGACAAAGGAATTTCAAAGATATCATCCGGAACGTCTTTCCTAACCAAATCCACTTCACAATCATCCTTTAATGTATCAAGATTTGTTGAAATATCATATTCTTGAGCATCTGAACCCAAACATTCTCCCATGTCAAACGTTTCCCTTGGAAGTGCATTTAGAACATAGTGTTTGTTCTTGTTTAAAGGATCTTCAATAAAGAAGCACTGTTGAACTTGAGATGCCAACACAAATGGATCATTTTTGTAGCATTTTTTGTTGAAGTAAACGAACGACGATCCATATTTATCCTTTTCATCCACAAACCAATCACATTTGAACAATACATATTTTTCATGACCATAATAATCTAACTCTATAATATCTTTTACTGACCCATAGTAAGTCACACAAATATTTTTGGGATTTTCATCCTTTGCATTTCTAATAACTTGAGTCACGGCTTCTAATGTCACACCACTATTTTCTGTTTTAAGCCTTGCTTCGCGGTTTGTTGTATGAAACCTGTATCCATTAATAACATAACCAGAATACCTTCTAACAACATCATTTGGTCCCCTAGACAACACCTTCAACCATTCGGTAACTTCCTCTTCTATAACACGTGTTTCAAACCATTGAATAAAATCTTCTCTTTGATTGTTAGCTTTTTTGGGATTCCTTTTTTTTTTAAGATTATGAACATTAACCTCATGCTCTCTACAAAATAAATAACTAATTTTTCAATACAAAAGAAAAAGAAAACTTATTACAAAATGAAATGTTGTATCAAATAGATGATTATACCTAATGTATTCTTGCACTTCATCACAATTGAATAAAATGTACCCGTGAGCTTGGTTTAGAGACTTATCATCAAGGGAAATCAGTTTCTTTCCCCCAATTAGATGACCTATGCTTGGAGTATCATCGCTATTTTGTGTCATTCTATCCATCCTTGTGTCTACATCACTAGACAAATATCTTGAACAAAATGTTAGAGATTCTTTAACCAAGTATGCTTCAGCGATAGAACCCTCTGGACGACTCCTATTACGAACAAAAGATTTTAAACCACCCAAATATCTTTCCATATAATACATCCATCGAAATTGAACCGGTCCACCTAATCTGACTTCGTTTGCAAGGTGAATTGGCAAGTGAACCATTATGTCAAAGAAACTTGGAGGGAAGATACGCTCGAATTGGCAAAGTGTTTCAGCAATTTCAACTTCCAAGTAATCCAAAGTTTTCACATCTATAACCTTCTGGCATAAACACCGAAAAAATGAACAAAGTCGGAGCAGAGGGATAACAACTTGATTAGGGGCTATCCCTTTTATTGCTACTTGCAACAAGTAATGCAATATAATATGAGCATCATGACTCTTGTATCCATAAACGTTTCCTTCATTAACTTGAACACATCGAGAAATATTAGATGCAAGGCCATCAGGAAGTTTTACTGTCTTTAAAACATTACAAAAAATAGATTTCTCTTGCTTTGTTAGGGAGAAACATGCCTTAGGCATTTGGGTTTTCTTACCATCACTCGTTGCCTTCAAATGGAGTTTTTTTCTAATCCCCATGTGTTGTAGGTCCAAACGAGCTTTTGCATGATCCTTTTTCTTCCCTTCAATCTCCAAGAGAGTCCCCATTATATTATCACAAATGTTCTTTTCTGCATGCATAACATCTACATTATGTCGCAAAGAATTATCCTTCCAATATGGTAATTGCCAAAAGATAGACTTTTTCTTCCATGGACCCGGCCTTTTTTCTGATATTTTTCCCCACTACGTCAGGGATCTTTTCTAAGTCTTTTAAAATCATTGTTGAATCTAACAAGGAGGGTGCAGACCTATATTCTGGCTTTCCATCAAAAGAACTTGAATTTGATCTCCAACTATGATTTGAATCCAAAAAGACTCGATGACCCATATAACACATCTTTCGACTATGTTTTAAGTATCTCGAAGAAGTTTTATGATTACAAGCAGGGAAAGCAAACTTCCCTTTAGTACTCCAGCCAGATAACATAGCATATGCAGGGAAGTCATTCACAGTCCACATAAGAGCTGCACGCATTTGAACTGATTGATTTTTTGATATATCATATGTTTCTACACCGACATCCCACAATATCTTAAGCTCCTCAATAAGTGGCTGCAAATACACATCAATTTCATTTCCAGGTAACTTTGTTCCAGGAATAAGTAACGACATTAAACAATTTTCAGCCTTCATGCACAAATTTGGCGGATAGTTATATATTGTTAATACAACAGGCCATGTGCTATGTGACAAACTCATAGTCCTAAATGGATTAAACCCGTCACTTGCCAACCCAAGTCTAATGTTACGAGTTTCAAGAGAAAAATTTGAATGTTTGGCATCAAAGTCTTTCCATGCTTGGGCATCGATCGGATGCCTTAACTTCCTATCCCTTGAACGATGGTCTGCATGCCACTTCAATGTATCGGCTGTCTTTGAACACATAAAAAGTCTTTTCAATCTTGGAATCAAAGGAAAATGTCTTAGAACTTTGGCAAAAACCTTGTGAGCTTTTATAGATTCTTCAAGATCATTAGTAACTTCAGGATATTCAATCCACCTTGATGCTCCACAAATATGACATGAATCATCTTTCCCATGATCTTTCCAAAATAACATGCAATTGTTGGGACATGCATCAATCTTTTTATAGTTTAAGCCCAAATCTTTAATTATAGATTTTGTTTTATTGAAAGAGACAGGGATGTTCAAATCAGGCATAGCCTCTTTCAACAACTCTAAGAGAGCAGTGAACGATGCATTGCTCCATCCATAGAGACATTTCAACAAATAAATTCGAATAGTGAATGATAACGAGGAAAACTTTTCACAACCAGGATACAACTCTTGCTTTGCATCATCAACTAGTTTATAAAATTTCTTTGCATCTTCATTTAGACCTTCATGTACTCCACCTCCTTCAGCCACATCTTTAAATGTCTCAAATAGCAATCCATCGATATCATCATGAGATGATGTTTCATTATCACTATCGTCATCAAGATCCATAAGGCTTTCATCTTCACCATGATAAATCCATTCAGTGTATCCCTTAATTTACAAATCCTTTGCTGCATAAATGGTCATACACTACATCTCTTACTTCCCAACTATCATTACAACATACAGCACAAGGACACAAAATCTCTTCTTCTTCAACCATTCCTTTAGTAAACGCGATATCCAAAAAGTAATTGACATCATCCTTATATTCTTGACTGTGTGGAGGCAACTCCACCCAATTCTTCTTTATCATGTTTAGTTTTCTAAAATAAAATAAATTATATATTACTATAAGTCTATAAGGGTATACTTCAAAACATAATAGAAGTGTTCATCATGACTATATCATAAAAATAAATAAAAAATTATTAACTAAAGGTGTTTAGAAAAAAATATCATATAAAAATATTTATAAATAGACAAATCCTATAAAAATATTTAAAAAATAATACTTATACATACATGTTGAAGTTAAATTCTAGTTGGAATATTTATTAATATACTTAGTTTATAATATTATTTATAATTTTAAAAAGATAATTCTCGTTTTTATTTTATTTTATTTTTAAAATCTTATTTTTAAGATTTGAATGGGATTTCTAAATTGTATATATAACTGTATCACTTTAATATACCCCCATATATATATATATATATATATATATATATATATATATATATATATATATATATATATATATATATATATATATATATATATATATATATATATATATATATATATATATATATATATATATATATATATATATATATATATATATATATATATATATATATATATATATATATATATATATATATATATATATATATATATATATATATATATATATATATATATATATATATATATATATATATATATATATATATATATATATATATATATATATATATATATATATATATATATATATATATATATATATATATATATATATATATATATATATATATATATATATATATATATATATATATATATATATATATATATATATATATATATATATATATATATATATATATATATATATATATATATATATATATATATACTCAAAGTAACAGCAACTAATTAAGACTTAGTATTATCTAAGAATATTCATAAACTAGTCTATATTGTTGACTTTGTGTATATAGTGGTAGCATCTTTTGGAGAACAAATAAAATAAGTGCTCAAGTTTCATAGCACTAAAGGTATACTACCTGAGCTTTGGTCATGTTTATAAAACTCGAACTAACATATATATAATTTTGAGTTCTGAGTTTTGACACAAATTTGTCACCGAAATTCGACAGCAATGATGACGTAACTCATTAGTCTTCAACATACAACAAAAACCAAGCCTTATTCAAATTAACATGATTATAATTAACCATGATATAAGAAGAGATATAATGACTCATAATAAGTAATTAGAGTCATTTGGTTTAGGTTTTGGAAGTAACTGTTTTACAATGGATACACTCTAAATGTGAGATATATAATTGATTTGAGATTTTGGGTGAATACTATAGCCTTATTTTTGTTTGTGGTAGTGAAATTTTGAGATTTCTTATTTATGTTTATTTTTTCTTTCAATTTTATTCCTCATTTGTTTTCACATAGTTACCTCAATTTCTTAGAATTTTTATATAGGGGTTGTTGTGTAATAAAAAAAGCTCTAAAATATGTGTATTGTTGGTGCAAGGTAGAATAAATGATGAACGGAGAATATTCTATTAAGAGAATGACGGCTACACACACACTTGTCTCATTACAATGATAGCAATCATATTTATAAGCAAAACTAGGGTTACTCAAAATATAGATAAAATACTAAAATGCCCTCTAACAAACTTATGGGCTAAGAAAAACAATATAACTAAATATGAATTATTCCTAATACCATCCCTTAATTCATATTCCATCAAAACTTGTAACACCAATTCCATCCCTTAGTTTGAGAAATTGATCAGTCTTGATAGCTTTCGTCAGAACATCTGCCAACTGCTTCTGAGTGTTGCAGTGTACAACTTCTAACACTCCACTCTGAACTTGATGTCTCAGAAAATGATACTTGGTCTCAATGTGCTTGCTTTTCCCATGCAACACTGGGTTTCTGCCAAGATTGATTGCAGACTTGTTGTCAATCATCAACTTCAGAGGTTTGTTTACTTTAATCTTCAGATCCTTCAACAGATTCAGAATCCACACAGCTTGGCATGCAGTAACAACACCTGCAATGTATTCAACTTCACAGGTTGATAACGCCACAACAGGTTGCTTCTTGGAACACCAAGAAATAGGACCTCCCAGAAATTTGAACAAGTACCCAGAGGTACTTCTTCTGTCAACTCTGTCTCCACACCAATCAGAGTCTGAATAACTCAGAAGTTCTGACTCATTCTTTCTTCCAGAGGGAAATAACACTCCATACTTCAGAGTTCCCTTGATATACCTCAGAATCCTAACAGCAGCTTGATAATGGGACCACTTAGGTTTACTCATGAACCTACTAACCATCCCAACAGGATAGCAAATATCAGGTCTGGTATTGCACAGATACCTCAGAGAACCAACCAACTGTTTGAAGGTTGTAGCATCCACATCTTCTCCATCAGAGTCAGAATCCAGTTTCTGATTTATATCTGAAGGTGTGACAGCAGTCTTACAATTCTTCAGTTCAAACCTCTTCAGAAGTTCTAATTTATACTTGAGCTGATGCAAAATGATACCTTTCTCAGAATATTTGAACTCCATCCCTAGAAAGTATGTCATTTTGCCTAGATCAGTCATTTCAAATTCATTCATCAGAACTTTCTTGAACTTGGCTATCTCCTGTTCAGAACTTCCAGTCAATAGTATATCATCAACATATAAACATACCAGAGTCATATTGCCTTCAGAAATATGCTAAACATAGACACCGTACTCCATCTCACATTTCTGAAAGCCTTGCTTCTTGAAAAATGAATCAATCTTCTGATTCCAAGCTCTGGGCGCTTGTTTCAGTCCATATAGAGCTTTGTATAATTTGTACACCATCCCTTCCTGATTCTTTTTCACAAATCCAGGGGGTTGTGACACATAAACTTCTTCTTCTAATGGACCATTCAGAAATGCAGATTTTACATCTAAATGCATCAGAGGCCAATTCCTGTTAGCAGCTATTGCAATCACCATTCTGATTGTTTCATGTCTTGCTACAGGTGCAAACACTTCAGAATAATCCAGCCCAGGTTTCTGTAGAAATCCTCTGGCTACCAACTGTTGCACCCTAAAATTTGCCCAACCTTATTCACTTGGTTTATGTTTCAATATCATTAGCATTTGCATATAGAGTCATGAACATAGGTTAACCATCTGCATAGCATAAGCATAGCAAGTCATTCAACAGGGGACCAATCATTATTCTCATCTCTAGAGGCCTATCAAGAAGATATTATCCTGATCCAACCTCATTCAAGTCATCAGAAAAGAATTTGGAAGCTATCAAGTCAATGGATCAAGCAGTTCATCTATCTCCTAACTGAGGGTGTCTGCGGATCAACAAAGAAATGGTGAGTTGTGGGCTGAGCATGGGGAGTATCTAGACATCTTGGAGGACTTAGAAAGTCATTTGGAGATGGAGACAAGTCAGTGGTGTAGTCACAAGAGTTGTGGAGGTAGACAGTCAACTAGAGTTTCATCTGGGTCAACTCTAAGTCAATTGACTGATTGAAAGGCATTAAGGGCCATTGGAGAGATGTGGGGTTCATAATTTGGCATTAAGAATAATGATATGTTGTTATGCTAAGAAGAATTCAAGAGAAATCAAGGAGAAGAGGAGTTTCTAAATTAGGGTTTCTGGGTAAAATTCCCTAGTTTATGACAAACTTCCAAGCAAGATAAGTCAAAATGCAAGCTTCAAATGAATCCTTGGCAAACATGAAACTTGTAGAGGATCTCAATACCTTTAATGTGAGTTGTGGAAGACATCAAGGAGATTTATAGAACTCAAGTTATGGTCCTTGCAAGTTACAGGTCATCTGAGGTATCTGAAATTTTGTCTGTGAAAGTGACTTGACTTCCAAGCAATTTTTACCCCTCAAGGAAATTTCAAATGAATTTATGGTCAACATAAGAGTTGTTCCTCATTGTCTTAGCTTTCTATAATGGTATGGTATGCCTTCATAGGATGTTCGGAACTCTACTTATGGTCTTGGCAAGCAAAGGGTATTTTGGTCATTTGTGAATTACAGGTCATTTTAACCTATGCCCAAAACTCATACAAGGAAGCTTCAAATGGAAAACTTTACAACATCAAACTTGATCCAAATGACATTTTGAGTCTATAAAAGTGACCATGAGATATTGGAAAGATTCATAGCACAAGGTTTCATAATTGTTGGATTTAATGAATAAAAATGGACTTAAAAATGAGATTTTTCATATCTTGGCCAAATGAAGCAAAATTATAGGTCATTTTGAATGGAAAGATCATTTTAAAGACATTGGCTAAAGTAGAATTTTGAGCTTATTTCATGTTTTAAGAGTTATCCATGGTTGCTTTCAATGGAAGAAACATAAACCAAATTCAAGGGAAAGAATGCAAGGGAAACTTCTCCAAGTTTCTAGGAGGTTCTAACCTCACCTATATATTGATAAGAGGTAGTTCATGCCATGGTTGGTGACTTCATTTGTTCAAAACCCCAAGTTTTACACACTTTCTCATTTTTGCATAAGCTTCTCAAACTCTCCATAATCTCCATCAAATCTCACTTTTCTGGATTTGATCATCATCTAGATCATTCATAGGTCAGAATTGTATCAAAGAATTGGTTGAATTGGTCAAAGATTGTACCATTCATCTCCTTCATCCAACTTGCAAGAAGGTTTCAAGTCCAAGATTCAGGAGGTTTACACACGAATCATTGCATACAGAACTCTTAATTCAAGTCACTGAGCAAGTCCCAATCACTGCAAGCATCAAATTCAGAGAGTTGCATAGCTATTTCTCCATTTTTCAACAGGTTGGTATCTCTGCTCGATTTGCATAGTTTAGGTAGCATGATAGGGTTTTGATAGTGTAGAATGGTTAAGATAGGATAGAGGACTGAGTATGATGAGTTTGGAGAAGTTTCAAGGAGTTTGATCATGGTGCATAAATTCTGTTAAGGTCCATAGCACGTGGAATGTAGCATGATAATTCATTGTATGTGGTTTGAAATGATCAGGATGAGGTGTAGATTAGTTTAGGATGA